GGCCCGGCCAGGGCCGCACCAGGACGCCCGGCCAGCCCCCCGCCACACCCATGACCACCCCACCACACCGCCAACAAACAAGTGCACCCCCCCCAGCCGTCCACGCCCCGGAACCCGGCAGCACCCCAAGGCCAGGTCACTACATGATGCTGGTGGAGGAAAATGTTTCTTGACTCGCTCCTCCAAAACACCCCAAACTGGTAAAGGTAAAGGTGCTTTATTTGTCATCAGTGTATGTTTCCACACAATGACGAAATTGTGCTCTGCATTTAACCCATCCACACCCAAGTGGAGCAGCGGGCAGCCATGTGAGGCTGCCCGGGGAGCAGTGAGGGTTAGGTGTCTTGCTCAAGGACACCACGACATGTGGGTATGGCGGGGAGTCGAACCTAAGACTTTCGGGTCCCAAGCCAGCTGCTCTACCACTACACCACAGCCGCCCCTGGCTCAATAATATTTAGATCTGATGACTGTGCAGACCCTGGGAGGTGTTCAACTTCACTTTCATGTTCATCAAACTAATCTTTCACCAGTCTTGCTGTGTGTTTTGGTGCATTGTCAACCTGATACACGGCACCGCCTTCAGGATACAATTTTTGAACCATTGGATGCTCATGGTCCTCCAAAATGGTTCGGTAGTCCTTGGCAGTGACACGCCCATCTAGAACAAGCATTGGGCCAAGGGAATGCCATCATATGGCAGCCCAAACCATCATTGATCCACCCCCAAACTTCACTTTGGGCATGCAACAGTCTGGTTGTCCTCACTGTAACTCTCATGGATGTGAGGAAAACATTAAAAGGTGGACTCATCAGAGAACAGGACATGTTCCACATTGTCCACAGCCAAAGATTTGTGCTCCTTACACCACTGAAACTAACSTTTGGCACGAGTGACCAAAGGTTTGGCTATAGCAGCCCGGCCGTGTATATTGACCCTGTGGAGCTCCCGACGGACAGTTCTGGTGGAAACAGGTGAGTTGAGGTGCACATTTAATTCTGCCATGATTTGAGCAGCCGTGGTTTTATGTTTTTTGGATACAATCCAGGGTTAGCACCTGAACATCCCTTTCAGACAGCTTCCTCTTGCGTCTACAGTTAATCCTGTTGGATGTGGTTCGTCCTTGGTGGTATGCTGACATTACCMTGGATATTGTGGCTCTTGATATATCACAAAKACTTCCTGTCTTGGTCACAGATGCACCAGCAAGACATGCACATAATGTTGTGTGCAATGCAATATTTTGAGCAAAACTGTGCTCTTACCCTGCTAATTGATTCTTCACACAACCAATCAATCAATCAATCAATCAATCAAATAAATAAACAAACAAACTCTTCCATGATACAAGTCCATATATGCATCTGTGTTCACATCTTACCTGGTGTGTAGCCCCAAGGCTCATAGTAAGAAGGGAAGACACCAAGGTGGCAACCTCTGACGAACTCCTCATAGTCCATGGGAAGCAGAGGGGAGGTAGATGAGAGGAACTCTGGATGGAAGATAATCTGAGGAAGGAGAAGTGATTCAGAACTGAGCTCCCACTAGAATACTATAAGCAATAAACTGGGTAATTCCTGCAGACTTGAAATAACTATGACAAGTGGTGTCAGGGCTGATACTTCTTGGCTCCTGTTGTACCTTGACTCGGTCAGCAGAGCTGTTGAAAAGGCCGATGCGGCGGACACTGTTAAGGATGGGGTCGCTGCTGTCCTCCAGCATGTTGTGGGTGCAGACCGGAGGCTGGCTCTGCCTCTGAGTGGCAAAGATGGCACGCTTCATGATGGTGAAATCCTCTTTGTCCAGCATCTTTGACACATCTGGCAGCTGCCCGCTAATAGAAAACACAGATAAAGCAGCATTTTTGGAAAGAAATGGCGTAATACAAAAGAAAAACTTGAAAACGTTGGTTATTAACTTAGATTTCTGTAATCCAAGGGGATTATTCCACATTATAATAATCTCTTCAGGTAGAATCAAGTGGTTAACTTACACTAGTAGTGACTCATAGAGTTTCTTTCCAAAGCGCTCCTTCACAGTATGAGCAGTATCCCTGCAGACAACAGTAAAGAAAATAGAAACAAGCTTTAATAATAACAACAAGCCTTTTCACTCAGCTACATTCACAGCAKCTAATTAAAAAATAAACTTTACCAGAGCTGCTTCCTGACTGCCTGGCCCTTTAAGGTCTCCACATTGAAGTTGTTTGTCCGAGCTGGCATGATGAAGAAAGCTATAACGGTCACGTCACTGTGGTTGACCTGTGCGACATGTAGAGCTTTTTCAGCTGATATTTTAGGACGTCTAAAACAYGTCCGGACACTTGGTAGCTCCGCTTCACACACTTACCCTCAGCAGATAGTTGAGTCTGGCTAAAGCCTCCAGAAAGATGTYGGCTCCTTTGTTGGAGAATTCGTACCTTCCAGCTATAAAGAGGAACAAACACTTGTCCAGGTTGAAGTCGAGGTGCCTGATGGCAGAGACAAACTGAGATTAGCGCAGCAACTACAATTTTACCACCACATCATRAACCTGTTCCACTGTTGTTTCCTGTTTACCCATAGAAGTGTCCCCTGATGAACTCCTGAATGCGACTCTTGCTCTGAGCATGGAGGTTTTGAAACTCGTGCATAGCAGAGAACTTCTTCACATTGAGCCCATTGGGAGTGATGATGTCTGTGTGAGGTGGGGAATATTCAGGCATTAGAACCAAAACTAAAGCAGAGAAATACTCACCTCTGACGAGTTAGCTGAAAGTAGCCTTTTATTCAGAGGGGCTGAACACAGAAAGAAGAAACAATAAATATATTATATCTACATTTTGTGAAAAGAGTGTCCCAATTCTTTATAAAGATGTTGGGATTTGCAATCATGCCCACAGATACAAATTTATCAGTGGCATACTTTAAACACAGTGCTTCTCTTACAAAGACACTTATAAATGTAAGCTATTTCTAAAAATATATGTTTAGAACAAAAATGTTGAATAAAACAATTCTTTCATCAGACAGATTGACTCTCAATGAAAAGTTAGCCCATCACCTAACTTGAACGCATTCATATTTAAAGGGATCCCTGATTAGTTGTAACATTAGACTTTATTTGATAAACATTTATTTTAACTGTAAAATAAAGACTGTAAAAATACTGTAGGCTGTTTAGTTTTTAACTAAAAGTTTAAACATTTTTAGTTTAAAACTAAAAGTTTTAAACTAAAAGTTTAAAAATA